TTTTGATGGGATATGAAAGCCGAAATTCAGTAGTCCCTCAATTTTGAGGGCAGTTTTGGTTTATACCCTATGACTCACAAGGCAACCAGACCTTCTTTTCAAATATCATTTTCCTGTGATGTTTTCATATGCTTTATTTGGCCTTTAGATTTGGATGAATTGTAACTTTAAAAATTCGTGAAGCAATGTAAGTGCTCAGGGAGGTATTCGATTGCCCAAGATCTTGCAAGGCTCTAAACACTGTTCAAAACAAGCCCATCCTTCCTCCTAAACCCACACCCTTCCTGGATGACCAGATAGAGGATGATTCTTATTCTCATGAAATGCAGTGTGCTCAGGGACATGAATGTGTGGGCCAGGAACAGGGTTTCTATAATTTAATGGTGGAATTGCTCCCCTTGGAGAACGTTGCATCAACACAAGTTACTCATTGATTGAATCCCAACCATGCGAGTGTGTTTCCAAAATCAATCACTCTTAAGTTATTCCACATGTACTTGTAAATATTAATATAATGGTCTATGTAACTGGGTTCTTTGTTAATGCTAAAGGTGGAGGAGGGTGTAGCATAAGTCTTAAGATTCTAGTGTCAGATGACCTGGGTTTTAAAACCATTACTGACACTATATACTAGCTGTGCATTGTTGGCAAGTTATTTAACCTCAGTAATGTTTAGATTCCTTATTTTTAAAATGGAGATGAATATATCACATAAATCATAAGATTGCTGTGAAGATTAAATGAAATAATATCTGCAATGTACAAGACACAATGCCAGGCACGTGTAAACATTCATTAAAAATCAGCTATTATTATTATTTTATTACTATATTTACGAAATTATATAATCAGGGTAAAAAGATCTCAAAAGTCACTGGATTCAGCTACTCATCCAATAATTTAATCCTCCCTACAGTTTTACTGCCAAGAAGTCTCCTAGCCCATGATTGAATACTTATTATTGGATAACTCTGATTTCTCAAGCTTTCTGTTATTGAACTAAATTATGCTTAAACCTGTAGCTTTCACGATTTGGAAATACACAGAACAAACGTGGACAGCCCTTTGAAAATGTCTCCAATCCCAGGCTATTCCCTAAATCCTTGGAACTTTTCTTACCTCTCCCTGAAACTTTCATTGGATCTTTCTCCTTCCCTTCAACACCAAAATTTTGGTAAGAATACTCTATAGATATGCTTTTAACTTTTCTCCAGTTTCATTTTCTCTTCAACACCTCGGGTACAGAGTCTGCTTCAGCAGCTCCCCAAGCTGAAGCGTAGGGACTCCCCTGTCCACACACAATGTAAAACAGAGAGAAGTAATAAAATTGACCTTCTTTAACTGAACTCTGTATAATGCTCTAATCACTGTACTAAGAGTTTTACATATGTTTTCTCTTTTAATCCTTACTAAGACCCTTTGTGAAATACATATTAGTACTATTATCTCTATTTCACTATTGAGGAGAATGAGCCTGTGAGAGTCTGAACTGTTCAACATCCTGCAGCTTGAACGGGGTGGTAGGTGGGTCAGGATTTGTAAGGGGGCTGACGGCCTCCAAAGTCTCTGCCCTTAAATACCAGGTTTGTAAATATAAATAAAGTTGGATGAGTTTGGGGAGGTGGATATAAACCATCAGGTCAGTTCATATGAGTATTATTGGGCACACATTATGTAAAAGACATATTTGTGAAATGAAAAGAAGTATAAGACACAGCCCTTTTTCTCCTATAAGGAAGCTCACAGTCTAGCAAATACACACACACATACATATACCTATGAAAAATAACTCATAAGAGAGGTGGAGATATGTAGGTATAGATATAGATAATGATAAAGAGAAGGAGATATAAAGATATACAGTAGATACAGAATATAGAGAGAAATGGATACACACACGTACAGATATTGGTACGTGGAGACAGAGATAAAAACAGAGAAAAACATATTTAAGGTAAAACTATGGACCAGAAGGATATACATCAAATTCAGTGTAACGGTGGCTTGGGGGAGAAAATGAGAATAGGACAAGTGTAGGGGTGGGGAGAGAGTGAAGGTCTGAGGGGAGAGGGGAGAGAGCAAACATCATCTGTAGTTTCCATTTATTTTATATACGTAAAAACATCTGAACAAAAGTATAAATAAAAAAAGAGAAGGGATAAGGAGGGATAGTTTCAATTCTTCTCTTTTAATTTTTGGGGCCTTGTGTAAGAATCATATAAATGATATACTGTGAGACTTCATATCATTCATATTTGTTAAACTATGCTCTTGTTAAAGAGAGCCAACCCATCAATTTCAGAGGGACAGCATCATACATAAGGTGCGTGAAATCCAGGCAGTTCCCCTCCCCTGTGTGTCCTCTCGCCGCTGACCACCGTGCTTGCTCTTGTTAAAGAGAGCCAACCCATCAATTTCAGAGGGACAGCATCATACATAAGGTGCGTGAAATCCAGGCAGTTCCCCTCCCCTGTGTGTCCTCTCGCCGCTGACCACCGTGCTTGCTCTTGTTAAAGAGAGCCAACCCATCAATTTCAGAGGGACAGCATCATACATAAGGTGCGTGAAATCCAGGCAGTTCCCCTCCCCTGTGTGTCCTCTCGCCGCTGACCACCGTGTTTCTGTCGCAGGCCGTGGGCTGCGATCGGCAACCGGGAAGCACCGCTAAGGTGGACAGCTGTGGAATCTGTGCTGGCAATGGCTCCACCTGCAGGCTCGTACGGGGACATTCGAAGTCAAACGTTTCTCCCGAAAAAAGTAGGTTTTTAAACCCAATGCTGTGTTTCCAACAAAACAAGATGTGTTTCAGACCACCTGTTACTAGAATAACATTTTCCTAATGCTAAGCTTTTTTAGTTGGAAATCACTTCGGACCAGTTTTCTAAAAGTCAAATCTCTTGCAAAACCTGTATATCAAAATTTTTGTTCCCATTATCACTTCAAAGAGTACCTGTTTCTTTGAACCTCTGTCGATACAGAGTATTACTGCTTTTTAAATATTTGCTGATTTCTCAGGTAAATTGTGAAGTAATAATTTCTTCTTTTTGCTTCCTTGGATTGCTGACAAGGTAGAAAACATCGTCATATATTTATTGCTCAGTTATGCTTTTTCATTTTTCAATTAGCTATTGAAGCAGTTTAACCATTTTCTTATTTGGATGTTGATCTTTTCATCACTGTTGTGAGCTTTACTATATCACAAATACTAACCTTTTGTCTGTCATACCTATTTCAAATGTGGTTCTCAGTTTATTTCAATTTTGTTCGTGTTTTTAGAATCAATAGTTTCTAAGTTTTGCGTATTCAGAAAATTTTATTTCATTAAAATCTGGCTTTTTAAAATCCATTAACTTCGGGGGTCAGTAAATTTCTGTGTAAAGGGCCAGATAGTAAGTATTTTAGCCTTTGCAGGGCATACAGTCTCTGTGTCAGTTCCTCAACACTGTCATTGCAGTGCAAAAGCACCCAAAGACACTCTGTAAACAAATGGGCATGGCTGTGTTCCAATAAAACTTTATTTACAAAAACATGCTGTAGGCTGACTTGGGCTCTCAGGTTGCAGTTTGTTGGCTGTGTTCCAATAAAACTTTATTTACAAAAATAGGCTGCAGGCTGACTTTGGCCCTCCGGTTGTAGTTTGTTGACTCTTGCTTTGAAGGGAAAAAATTATTCATGCAAGTTTTCTGCCAATACTTTTATAGTTTTGTTTTTCTACTTTTACATCCTTTATTCTTTTGAGTTTATTTTGAGATAACTTATGAAGTAGGGATCTAACTTGTTCCCCTAAATGAGGAGAACATTACAGGAGGGTGGAAGGTTTTTTAGGCAGAGGAAACACAAAGTTCATGGTCTGACACCAGAGGAAAGCCTGGGTTTTTGGAGGAACTACTAATATGTTGCTCAGGCTTGAATGCACACTGAACAGTATGAAAGATAAGACAGAATGGCATTCAGGAGTCAACTATAAAAGCCTTCATTGTTGTGCTTTTATTTCAGGTTAAGTGGAGTCATTAAAGTAATTTAGGCAGTGGAGTGACATGATTAGATTTGTGTTTTAGTGAAAGAATTCTGGCAGCATGTGGAGGCTGGATTACCTGTGAGGTGAGCCTGGAAGCAGGGAGTCCGAATAGGAAGGCTTTTTATAAATCATTAAGAGTATTTGAAATAATGAGGCCTTGGTCTAGAGTAGTGTGGCCGGAGATATAGAGGAAGGAACAGTTGGAGAGAAATTTAGGAGACAGAATGAGCAGAGTTTGCTGATTCTTTGAATGAAGACTATAAGAGAAAAAAAGAATTTAGAATGATGCAAATTTTCCAGCTCGAGCAGCTGGATGGTTACGTTTGCTGTTTGTTTGTGTAAGGAATTCATGAAGAGGAGACACAGACATATCAAAGGTAAGGGCCCACCTCCCTGGATTTTCATTCTTTTCAGAATTTTGGCCCCAGTATTCCATTTCTTGGACCTTCCTGAGGCCTTCAAACAGATGCTGATTTTATTTTGTTCGTAGTTGAGGGTTGATCTGAAACACATCAGTCCATCACGGCTGACAGCAAAACCTCCTTACCGGTGGTATTCAGTTATAAATGTAGGTGAGTCCACCCAAAGAGAGATTGTAGAATAAAACGGGAAGCCAAGAATTGCATCCTGAGAAACATCTGAAGCCAAGGCATTTAGCCAGGGAAGAAGTTTAAGAGCATTCAACTGAGAAGGAACAAAAAAAGTAAGTAGATAAACACAAAATGTAGCAAGAGCAGTATCATGGAAGCCAAAGGAATGAGTAATTTCAGAAAAGGAGGTAATTGTCAGCTATGTTAAACACTCTTGCCAGGACAACTAGCATAAAGGTCCAAAACTTTCTCTTGGACAACTTGAAGATCATTTGTGGCATTAGCAAAAGTGGTTTCAGTGAGTTTCAGGCTGAAACCAAAGCTTGACTACAGTGGGTTGATCAGTGAAGAGAAAGCAAAAATGTATACAGGGAAGGATTTGCCCAGGACAAGAGGAGGGGTGCGCACTGACACCATGTCAGTGAATTTTTACCTCTGTCTTATTCTCTTAAAACATAGGCCTTTTGGCCTCTTCTGCTTGTTTTTATGATTGGCAGAAAAACCCTTGGTATTGAATGGAGCAGAGGGAGCTTCAAGAGTTATCTTCTTGTTATAAAGGTGGTTCAATATCATATTGACTTTAAAAGTGGATGAGGCCAGTCCATTTGGTGCTAGTGTATGTGTCTTTGCTTTCTCTTCAAGGAGGCAATGTTGTATAGCTGACTAGAGAATGGGCTCTGGAATCAAAGCCCAGCTCTGGAAACTTCTAGCTGATTGACCTGTAGCAAGGTGCTTAACTTTTTTGGGCCCCAGTTTTCTATCAATCAAATGGGGGTAATAATAGGATCTATCTCTATAGTTTTGAGGAAGATTAGCTGAAATGCTATACCTACAGTGCTTAGCATGGTGTCTAGCACATGCTCAATACTGTCAACTCTCAACCATTATAAGTAGGTCTTTTACAAGTTGCAATCTTTTGCAAGCTACAATTATTTGCATAAGTGGAAAAAATGAAGAACAGTAGTAGTTTTGACTTTGTTGGACCAAAAAATAAATAAATAAATAAAACAGGGTCTAAGGTGCTGAGTGCAAAGGGCTTTGGGCTGGCTGCTGTACCGTACAAGACTATGGCATGTGACACTCGGGCTTCTAAGGAGGTGGTAAGCCAAGTATTTAATATTCCGTCCATTCTGTTGTTACTAATATTGATATAATACTTTATAATTCCCAAAGTTCTCTTTAGATTCATCATATTTAATGCCACCAGCACCCTTACATTGTAGATTTGATAATGTCATCCCATTTTACAGATGAGGAAACTGAAGACCAGAGATATTAAGACACATCTCCTGTAGCTAATTGTGAAAGGCAGTATAGGGAACTGGTTAAGAAATTGGGGTCTGGACCAGAATGCCTGGGATTACACTCTGGGTCTGTTGATTACTTGCTTTGTAAACTGGGAAAGTTATTTAACTTCCATGTATATCCTGGTTTTCTCATTTTAAACTGGGAATAACAATAGTACTGCCTTTGTGGAGTTGTTGTCAAGATTAAATAAATCAACCTATACTCAGTACTCCATATAGTTTGGCACCTGGAGAGTGCTCAATGACCACTAACTGTATTTTTATTAGAAATATTACTCATTTGAGTACCAAAGGATGTAACACCTATTATATACCTTAAATGTAAATGTTGATATTTGTAAACAGATTTTTGAGTCAACAGTTGGCCCATAAGGGGATTGATTTTAAGAGAGCTACTGGTTGATATAGAGGAAAACCTTGGAAGTGTCAAAAAAGAGTGAACTGTAGGAGAAACCAAAGTTAGAGGAAGACTCAGATCAGAGGAAGATAGTTTAAGGAGACAGGCTGTACGGTGAAGAGGTAATTCAGGAAGGCTTGTGGATGTGGGGACTAAGGGAGGAAGATAGTAGCCAACTCAGGGTGTTGGGGAAGAGCCTGGAGTTAGCCTTGACCCCAAAAAGTTTGGAAATTTCATCAGAAAAGACCTTGCTTGGTCAAGGTCCAAAAGAGATTAGAAATTGAGATAATTCTAATTGAACCATGGTAGAAGCCGAGTGAAATTGTGTCAAAGAACCAGTCTTTTTTGGAGAAGTGTGCAGAGAAGGCCCTGAAATGCAAGATAGTTCAAATACACACACACACACACACACACACACACACACACACACACACACACACACACACACACACACACACACACACACACACACTAGTTTTCAGGTTTTGGATTCCACTGAGAATCCATTGAAAGTTATGCACTTTCTCTCCAGGCAAATGCACATGTACTCTTAAGCCCCAAATCCCAAATTTGCCATTCTGATTTTTGGGGGTTTCTCAGACCCCTGATGCCCCTTTAGGACATTCCTAAAATGTCTAATGGTTTTGATGGATTTCTATGAATAAAGGGGAACTGGAGTGCACAGGCAGCTCTTGAACTCAGGGCATGGGTGACAAGATGAAAGCCAGAGGCACCCTCCCCACCCCCCAGGACACTGGCATCTCCTCAGCTTCTACCTGCATGTGCCTGGGCTGAGGCTAAAGTTAGCACGGATTCCTGTCTGCATGAAAACACAGTGCTTGGCATTCTTGACCCTCGTAACGGCCCCTTCATGTCTGTTACTGCTCTGAAACTGGCCAGCTGAAGCCGTTTTTTGGCTGGGATTTTCCCTAGGCCATATGGAAGCACTTCCCTATAATCATGCTTTGTGTGAAAGAAATGTAGGAAATGAAGCCATGTCTCCCCCTGAGTGTGCATCACTGGAGCCTGCAGGGTCCACACGGCTCCTACGTCCACACCTTGCCAAGCAATCATTCCTATCTTCCCTGGGACTCACTCACCCTGAGTCAGGACATGGCAGTGAGATCCTATTGGCACGGCCCGTGCTGGAGAAAGTGCACAAAGCTGCACACGGGATATCGTTTCCATCGTACAGTAAGGCAGACACAAGGTGTAGGAGCCTGGAGCCAAAACCTTTGCTATGAGAAAAATCAGAAATGCATCCAGATACAACACGCAGATTTCCTGTTCAGAGGGAGAAGGAGAGAGACTGAAGTAAGAACTGGCATACATAGCTTTGGATGTTGGAAGAGGGACCTAGAGGCACACAAGTTTTAAAGAGAGAAAATCTAAAAACAGCAACAGAGAAGCAAACACATCTATTTGGAGCATCTTGACTTGGTGTATTGCTAGGGCTAGGGCTCACAGACCCTGCAAGCCCCTTGTACACACTGGGTCACAAACCCCTCACACGCAGGTCCACGAGGGAGGTAATAGGAAAAGATCGTGGGAGCCGTGGGTAAAAAATTAATAGGCTTTATTCAGAGCTAGGAGCAGCTGCCCTAGTGGCCTCCTGGGGCGTCCCGAGGGCCCTGGCAGCAACGGCCTCCAATTCACACACACACACACACACACACACACACACACACACACACACACACACACGTTTTCAGGTTTTGGATTCCACTGAGAATCCATTGAAAGTTATGCACTTTCTCTCCAGGCAAATGCACATGTACTCTTAAGCCCCAAATCCCAAATTTGCCATTCTGATTTTTGGGGGTTTCTCAGACCCCTGATGCCCCTTTAGGACATTCCTAAAATGTCTAATGGTTTTGATGGATTTCTATGAATAAAGGGGAACTGGAGTGCACAGGCAGCTCTTGAACTCAGGGCATGGGTGACAAGATGAAAGCCAGAGGCACCCTCCCCACCCCCCAGGACACTGGCATCTCCTCAGCTTCTACCTGCATGTGCCTGGGCTGAGGCTAAAGTTAGCACGGATTCCTGTCTGCATGAAAACACAGTGCTTGGCATTCTTGACCCTCGTAACGGCCCCTTCATGTCTGTTACTGCTCTGAAACTGGCCAGCTGAAGCCGTTTTTTGGCTGGGATTTTCCCTGGGCCATATGGAAGCACTTCCCTATAATCATGCTTTGTGTGAAAGAAATGTAGGAAATGAAGCCATGTCTCCCCCTGAGTGTGCATCACTGGAGCCTGCAGGGTCCACACGGCTCCTCCGTCCACACCTTGCCAAGCAATCATTCCTATCTTCCCTGGGACTCACTCACCCTGAGTCAGGACATGGCAGTGAGATGCTATTGGCACAGCCCGTGCTGGAGAAAGTGCACAAAGCTGCACACGGGATATCGTTTCCATCGTACAGTAAGGCAGACACAAGGTGTAGGAGCCTGGAGCCAAAACCTTTGCTATGAGAAAAATCAGAAATGCATCCAGATACAACACGCAAATTTCCTGTTCAGAGGGAGAAGGAGAGAGACTGAAGTAAGAACTGGCATACATAGCTTTGGATGTTGGAAGAGGGACCTAGAGGCACACAAGTTTTAAAGAGAGAAAATCTAAAAACAGCAACAAAGAAGCAAACACATCTATTTGGAGCATCTTGACTTGGTGTATTGCTAGGGCTAGGGTTCACAGACCCTGCAAGCCCCTTGTACACACTGGGTCACAAACCCCTCACACGCAGGTCCACGAGGTAGGTAATAGGAAAAGATCGTGGGAGCCGTGGGTAAAAAATTAATAGGCTTTATTCGAGCTAGGAGCAGCCGCCCTAGTGGCCTCCTGGGGCGTCCTGAGGGGCACCGTGTATCAGAGCTGTTGGTCCTTTATACTTAAGTCCATAACCCAGGACACCTGGGTGCACATGCGCAATTACATTAGACAATAACCAAGGAACACCTGGGCACACGTGCATATTTACATCAAATGCTCGGCAAGATTCTGAACATCTGAGGGGCCCTGACCATTTTCCTTCACTTTCCCTACACTTGGCATTTAGGGACTTCGTTGTATTTCCAGGTTTGTGGCTTATTTTGGTCTTGTTCATGTCAGGGCACGCTCATATCAGGCAAATAAGCCCAGCTTGTCTATTTTGGGCTCTTTGTCCATTTTCACATGGTGGCAACTAAGCCTATTGATATGGTGATACCTAAGGCCAACCTGCAGCACCAGCACTTAGCTTGCCTTTGACGTAATGATGACGACCACGCCCTCTCATAAAGCATCCCTTGGTACTCCTGCCAAATACAGAATATTCTGGGTTAGAATTCAGTCCTGTGGGGCTGCCTCACAGGGTAATTCTTTTGACTTTTTCTCTTTATAACTGTTCATTTCTCCTTTAGCTGTCACTTCCAAAAATAATCTACAAATTTAACTTATTCCATAATAAGGAAGATAGTATTGGATGTTAAGGGTTTGCTGATGTGATAAGCAGACTGTTTTTTGTTCTTCCTGTCTTATCTCTTTCTGCCTCCCCATTCCCCCTTTTAAGGAAAGATTCTGACTGATAATACTCTAATACCAGAACTATGGCTGATAAAGGGATATTCAAACCAAAGAATCTGTTCCTTTTAATGGGATATTTCCCCCCTTTAATTTAACAAGAGAGAGTGTGTCATGGAAGGAACATTCTGGTACTGGAATCGAGAACCCTGAGTTCTAGTCCTTGCCTGACTCTTTCTCATGCTTTTGTGTGTTTTCTACCCTCCACACAAAGAGAAATAAGAAAACATGGCATGTAAACCCTGTTGAGAAGGAATTTCATTGATCATGTTTTCCACAGAGGAGCAGAGACCAAGAACTCCCCGGCCTCTTCGTGAATTGCCTTTCCACTAAAGATAAAATCCACACCCCTTTCCGGAGCCTTGAAAGCCTGTGTCTTGGGGCCTCTGTTGTTATATCATGTGCTGCCATCTGCTTCTCATTCTCTAGGCTTCAGTCACATTGGCTTTCTGGAAGATTCTAGAATGTCCAGTGGCCTTTCCTCCCGTGGACCTTTGCACTGATCCATGCCTGCGCCTGGAACATGCTTCTCCCAGCTCTTACCACGGCTGCCTCTTTCTCATCCTTGAGCTCAAATTTCACCTCCTCAGAGATGCTTTCATCGATCAATCTGCCTAAAGTGGGCCCTTTTCTGTTTTTTTTCTTGCTTAGCCTTTATTGCAAGAAGTAATTATTTCATTTATTTGTTTAAATTGCCTCTCCCGCCAGTAAGGCTTTGCAAGAACACACACCATAGTGGTTGTGTTTGCCATTTTATTCTTAGTGCTGATACAGTACTGAACACATCATAGGAGCTCAAATAATGTTGAATGAATGAATACATGCCCTTTGCTAGAGATGATTCCACTTCCTGTTAGGATTTCAGTGGGACTAAATGATGTCGTGCAAGAGAACTAGACGGAAGCCAAAGACTGGGGTAGTAACCTCAGCCTGGATGCTAACTGTCTGTGATCTTAGGCAAGATGCTTACCTTACTGAGACCTTGGCTTCCTCATCTGCGTAGTAGGAGTGCTAGCACGGCCGATTTCTAAGACGTCTTCTAGCTCTGGAAGTCTATTAAGTATGTCTATAGTTCATTCCTCCTTAAAAATAAACCTTGGGATTGAATGGAGGTTAGGATCTTATCTGTAGATGTTTTCCTAAGTTTTAATGAAAAGGTTTAGAGACGGCTTGTCATTATTCTTAAAGGGTTGAGGACATTTTATATATAACACAGAAGTGAGTTGGTGGGGAGTCTCCTCTTTTCTCCCATGAACTGCTACTTGGCTACCTTTTTACATGCAACTGTCACTATCTACATGGAAGGGTTTTGTCTGTGACCCCCTAGCTGATGTGTGAGCAAGTCAAGGGCCTCTCTCATCTGACCCAGTATTGGTACCACATATGCCCTAAGTAAAGGTGTGTTGGCTTGACCTGAGCAGAACTGAAGTGCCCACTTAGACCAGCATCTTCATGGCAGCAATCCCTGAGGACACTGTGGATCAAAAGCAGAAGGAGCCAGTTAGCACCTGGGAGACCTGACATCCATTAACCAAATGAGAGTGCCATAATTATTAGTAATAGTAGTTATTGGGACTATAATAATAATAGTGGCCTCCACAGGTTATGTGCTTTTATTGTGCCAGGCACTGTGTTAATTATTTTTCATGGGTGATATTATTTATTACTACTATAACCCTTCAAGGTGTAGGTACTGTTATCATCTTCCTATCTGACAAATGGAGAAATGGGCTTAGTAATATTAGTACCTTGTTCAAGATTTTCCAGATAGCAAGTGGCCAAGATGGGCTGCCTTCAGAGTCCCTGTGCTTAACCTCCCTCCAAAATTGTCTTCCAAGAGCAGCTACGTGAGCACGAGGGGAGTTGTGCACCGAGCCCTAGAGAGATGGGGTAGAGTACTAAGCATTCACAAAATGGAACCAGAAGGGAGCAGAGGCTGCTTCAACCAACCCATCCCTTATTTCCCCTTGCCAGAGCCCGGCTTCATGTTTCCTAACCCAGCGTGCACATCAGGATCACCTGGGGAAACTTAACTCAATCCTCAGACCGAACCCTAGAATTTCTTGCAGTAAATCTGGGCAGTTGTATGTCGCCAGACTTCCCAGGTGACTCTGATTCATGCCTTTGGTGAAGACCTGTGCTTCATAGTGTTGGATGCCCTGCTACAGAGTCAGAAGGCAAATGATGATTTCATCCTCACCAGGCTCTTGATTTCTTATATGCAGTAAAAAGGGCAGAAAAGTAGAGTTACACCAGGATGCTGCTGGGGAACATCTGAACAGAAATTTGTTGTTAGATGCTGTGTAACATAGTCTCCTCTGCTGCATGCTGTTCAAAAGCCTGCCATGCAAATGAGCACAAAGACATACATTATTGGGCACTCTGCCTGTTACCATGCTCTTTTGAGGTAAAGGCATCTTAAGTCAGTAAATATACATACTTCCACGTTGGAGGCAGATGTCTCTGCCTAGACACAGGGTCTAAGGGCTGAGGACATCATTTGCAGATTCAGCAATCATAGACTTCCACGATGTAGCCTCACAGCTCAGGGCAGGACAAAGGGGTAGGAATCAGTTTTCAGCTTGTAGCTGGTTGTTCTCACCAAATCAAACCCCTGCCGTGTTCCTTCTCTACTTTTTTTGTTTTGTTTTTTGATTGCTGTTAATTTTATATTTTTATTTTTCCTTCTTTTTCTCAATGGCACATTTCATTTATCCCACCTCTGTTTGCAGAAGGCAGTGTATAGACAGTCCTCCAGCTGCAGAATCAGTGCAATTACGCACCAAATTTCCCTCTTTTGCTATCCACAACCCCCTACTGCACTTACATAGTAACAGATGAACTTGAAATAAACTTGATTACCCTACTTTTGGAGAGTTGTCAGCCCTTGTTCTGCACAGTGCCACACAAGGTACTCCCTTTAGTCTAAGTGATGCCAAATGGTTATGGGTGTGTGAAGACATTAACAACACCATTTTTTTTTTTTTCAGTTTACAGAATGCTTTCACACTCTTTTCCTCATTTTAAGAAAAACATGTATTACTTGCAATTTTCCCACAGGGTTTAATTATTACCAGCATTAGCATTTATTCTGATACTTTTCTTTCTTTTTAAAAAACTCCTTTATTCCTTGGAAATGGTGTGTGTGTGTGTGTGTGTGTGTGTGTGTGTGTGTGTGTGTGAGTGAACCTAAATAACAGAAGGAGAAAATAAAATGCAGGGTCCAGAAAAGTAACATGAAAAATATTTGACAGAAAATTTTGTTCAGCTAAAAACCCTAAACAATTTAAAAAAAAAATAACACAGCAAAAAGAAAACCGAAAACCGGGAATACGAAAGTGGGGATAAGGTTGTCAAAGTGTGAATAACTAAAACATTTTTTTTCTTGTTTTGCCCTGAAATGTGTATATTTAGATTGATGTAATTCTAGTTATACTTCATAGTGAAAATAAACAATCTGATATAAATTACAGTCCTTCTGGGCTGAAACCGATGTTCATCGATTAGTTAATATTGTGTGGACAATTTATTTCCTGTACATCTTGCTACTTAGCAAAGCCGTGATCTCCGGCAGGAAATGAGACATCGAAAAAATATGATGGAACAGCTGGACTTGGGCATTTATATGTGGGAGGGAAAATCAGTGGAAGCAAACTTAATCTTAGGTCAGTCCAGTGATTGCAAAATAAAACAAGTGAAACCCATAAAATGAAAGTCTGTTATGGACATACTTGTGATGGGCGAGTTTGAGTTTATACAGTATCACTTGTTCTCACAGTAGAAAGGTTAAGAGTGTAGTGTTTGGTTCAGACCCTGGTTCTCCTGTATAGGAGCTCTGTGATCTTGGGCAACTCATGTAAACTTGCAAAACTTCAGTTTTCTTAATTGCAGAAATGGGTTTTTATTAGAATCAATGAGGTAATTTATCTTAAGTTAGTTAGCTTGGTGCCTGGGGGCATAGTGAGTGCTCACATGGTTTTAATAAAAACTTACACTTACCCAGCCCCTCGTGGGTGCCAGGTTCTTTTCTAAGCCCTTTGTTTATATTACATCATTGAACACTCACAACAACCCCTTGGAACTAAAATTCTTATTTTCCTCATTTTACAGATGTTGCTGAGGCTCAGAGAGAGTAAGCAATTTGCCCAAGGTCACACAGCAGATGTTAAGTGGCAGTGCTGACATTCCAACCCTGGTTGTCTGGCTCCTGGGGTCTGTGATTATAACCGCTATTCCATATTGCTTCTTCCAATGATGGGCGAGTTTGAGTTTATACAGTATCACTTGTTCTCACAGTAGAAAGGTTAAGAGTGTGGTGTTTGGTTCAGACCCTG